GCCTATGCGTTTTTTCGCGCAAGCGGACATCTCTGAACAGGGCCTAATTGAAATTAGACTGGAAATGCATGGCGAGGCTCAAAAAAGACTGATAAACGTCATTTAAGTCAGGCTTCGTCCATTTACAGAAACGAAACGGGTTTATAAATAAGCAATGCCGAGTTCAGCAAACACTACATGAGGCAAACGGTCCCAAACGATCATTTAGCAAACAAAATATAGAAACAATGGGAGTTAAATAGCGACGAATGCCATAGGAGATGAAATGGTTTGACTCACCACAATCGCCGACAGCCACATTCCAATCGATAAAACAACTCGAGGATTGTAACGATCTCCCAGTATACCACCTCCAAACAGACCCTTGAACCGTAAAATTCAGAACTCGTGTGGTGGCCACGGTTAACTCTAGATTAAACGCCGTCATCCATCGACTTAAACCTAATTTCTACCGACTTGTATGGAACACAACCTACCACAGAGTATGCAAAGAGGAATCCACCGTCTAGCATAGCAAGAAACTCTGAAGCCGCCTGATCGGAGGGGAACAGCGGGGGTCTGAAATGAAAAAGGAAGACTATTGAGGTGATCGGGATAAACTAGTAGTCTATTGAGTTGTTGAAGTTATCAGTAACGCTTATCATGTTCAGCCATTTATAACGTCTGGTTAAAAATTGCTCATGTAAACCAAGGTAAAGACATCGAAATAGTTTTTGAATAGTTTTCAACACCCCATGTCGTAATGGAACTTTTTCAAACATTTTCTATTGTTTCGATATTGAAAATGAGCGAGACTCGCGTAGTTCCCTTTGAGCACAAGGGAATTGCTCAACTCATCCCGAAGTTCCCTCCCTCCTAAATTGGAGTTACCACTGTACGTAGAAAATATTGCGCCTAATTGCTCCCGTCCACTTCCTCAATAGCAAAAACCCAATAGTTCTTAATCAGCTTTGCTTGTCTGAATGATTTTGAAATGAACATCGCCCCCACAACTCATTCAAAAAGGTGAACTCAAACAGACTGTAAAAAATAAGAAAGGAAGAAATGAAGCTTTTCTTCAATGACTCACTTGGTCGAAGTTCCATGAGTCCATGTCGCGATCATAGACGGCTTCACAGTGGACAACGTCTTTCTTGTTGCATGTATCAATGCAAAACTAAAAAAATCAAGTCACAATAGGATCAAATGTGGATAATGCACACAAACTATCTAATTATCAAACTGCGGAAAACAAATCCAACAGCTCAGGTCGGAGTTGACCATTTATAAGATAACTTTCAAAGGGGAATGTGTTCGAAGGAGGGCATGGGACTGAATGAGAGAATCATCAAGTTTTAGGAAGGAATGGAACTTATGGAAACAAAAAAAAACGTTGTGCTCCAAAATGAACAAAAGAGGCCTGGTGCTAACTTAGTTGGGGGGGGCACGCGGCGGCGCGGCAGTCTGCTCACCTGGGCTCTCTCGAGCGAGACAGTGTAAACTCGAACATTCCAGCTTTTCACGCATGTCAAGTGACTGCCCCACCCCCCACCCCCCTAGGCTGGCTACACTCCCCCTGGCCCACGGATTTCCGAACATTCCCCCTTCGC